TAAAATTTTTTTGGCACTTTTAATCATGTTATAGTTGACCTTTTGTGCTGATATTGACTGCCAAGAACTTTGCTTCAATAACCTACATGTGCAGATATTCATGATACTTTTTCTTTGGGACAGAGCATGGCTGGAGTTGGAGGAGGGAGGCACCTCCGTCTGTGTTGAATATTGCATCTTGCCAAAGAAGTGGTTCATAAATTATGTATAACAGTAGATGCCACTCAATAAATATTTTATATGTGATAGATATTTTTGTCTGAAATTACTTTTTCACTTGAGCAGTGATTTAAACCCTAGTTTTTAGTTTCATGAGGTGACACTTTTATTATATCATGTAGTCAAATGCAGCTTGAATGTCATAGAGCTTTAGGGCAGCACTAAACATAAATTTATCTGTTGCCACTCCCAGTTTTGAATAACTCCCTCCTATTAAGATTTTACGTGTATGAAAACGTATGTTTGTGTATATGTGCGCACGTGTGGATGTTGGGCACAGTAATATTTTTGCCCTAACAGCTCTGAAGTTAGGAATTTCAAATGATTTTAAAAATCCATGAAACTTATTTCAAGGAAGGAATAAAAGAAAGTTTTTCATCTTAAAATAAAAAAGAATATTAAACTAAACCGGGATGTAGTCCAAAACAATATCTCTAGTTAGTGTGGGAGCTATTAAGAGTTTAAAATACTGCCATGATGGGGGGGAAATTATTGCCTTCTTTTATGTAGAAAGAAAATAAATACGTCTCCTAAGAGAACAGTCACTTTTCTTTTGACATGAACTGAGATGCCTGGAACTCTCTGCCAGGAGGCTGCTCGCTCAGTTTGTGCAGTACTGCAACAGATCAGAGGCCCCATACCTTCCGTTGAGTTCACTGTTCTATGAAATGGAGCATTGTGATTAAATTCTCCACTGGAATCTATATCTCCGAAAGCAAAACAAAGCGCAGCACATCTTTCCTACCTCTGCTTGGATTCTACGGGGAGGAGAAAAATCATGGCTAAAATCGATATCTGAGTGGTACAAGTAGGGGATATTTGGTTTATTTAAAATTCTCATTTCTCCTGAGATTTGTGAGGGGATTAATGTAGTAAATCAGACCTGGAAGGCTGAGGGTCTGAGCCCAGGAAAGGGATCTTGACAGATGCAAAGAATAATTGAAGTACAATGATACGCTTCATTTACCCCTTTTGAATTTCAGTTGTACATAGATCATTTTATTTATTTGTAATGGTTAAATTGCTTTCTTTCAAGTGGTGATTTTTATGAGGTTTATTTATTTATTTCTTTGTCGCTTCATTCTGTTTTCATGCCAGTTCACCTTCTTACAGCCCCCATGCATTTGAGACCCAAATGTCTGCAGATAAACAATTGTGGATCGTCCGACCCCCTGTATCATGTCTCCCCATATTTTCTTAACTCCCTTGTCTGTGTGGTTGTGAGGTTCTGAATCTTTCACTTAGAGAATGGTGGACTTCGTACATGATTTTTATATTTAAATATTTTATATTTACACTTAAATTTAAATTTTTATATGTAAATAGCACAGCTACTTTTATCCATTTCTGAAATGTGTGTGCTTCTGATACGTTTGAGATAGGCTGGATGTTGGAGTCTCGGAACTGTGCCCTGGAAGATGTTCACGGATTTGTTCTCATTGTAGGAACCTCAGTAACTTGGTGCTTTCTCTTCCCCTCTTGCCACCTTGATATTTTAATTCTCAGAAGTACTAGTTATGATCTTGGGTATAAATGAGAGTATAGCCACACTGGCTTTTTGTTTGTAGTGGGGCCACACTGGTGGTACTTAGGGCTTGTTCCTGGCTTTGCACTCATAGATCAGTCCTGGAGGTACTCAGGGGACCATTTGGGATACTGGGGATCGAACCCAGATCAGGAAGGCAAGTGCCTTACCCGCTGTACTAGTGCCCACTTCTGCCACATGTAAGGCACGCTCCCTCCCACTGTATTGACTCTGGCCAAACTGTGATTTTCATCTTCAATCTTCTGGGTTTTTATTGCTTTTTTTGGTGGGGGGAGGTGACATCTGGTGATGCACAGGGGTTACTCCTGGCTCTGCACTCAGCAATTACTCCTGGTGGTGCTCAGTGGATCATACAGGATGCAGGGAATCATACCCGCTGTACTATTGCTCCAGCCCCTTCAATCTTCTTGAAAGTGTCTTTCTTCCACCTTGGGCTTTCATCAGAGACTGATTTTAGAGGTCTTTCATCTTGGCTTCTCTTGGCCTGATGTGAAGAGGGAACCTGCTGTCTCATCTGAATGACTTTGTGTTACCACTGTTTCTCTTTACATTTATCTAAACCTTTGTATCTCTCTGCTGTGGTTTATTTAATAAATATTGATTGAGGAGTCTCTACATGTAAACATGAATTTGGCACTGGATTGCATTCTATTCAGGAGATAGTAAACTTGTATGCAGCATATATAGTGATCCTTGCTAAGAATAGAACAAAACCAGATAAAGGAGATTGGTGATGATTTTGTATGGGGTGTTGGCAAAGGTAGATTTTGAACAGAGACCTGAGGAAGTAGAGGGCACATTACATACGAATCTAAGGCAGGTCTAGCTTTTCACTCTCAGCTGATTTTGTTCCACCCTCTCTCATGCCCCTGGGGTATGTTTGTTCCTAGAGAGGTTGTTGGTTCGCAAGAGGTTGGGGAAGCAGCCATTTGTTTCTGGTCTTTCTGGTAGGTAGAGGTCAGGGATGCTGCTAGACATCCTACAGTGCACAAAATGCTGACTCTGACTAAGGAATCATCTGATCCCTAGTATCAGCACTGTAGAGGTTAGAAAATCCTGACTAGGGGAAAGGAGGAAAGAGAACAAGAGAGGAAATAACAACTATAAATGATGAAACAGCAATAAGGGAAGTCCTAAGATGGCGACTGACTGGCATGGCTTCCGCTTTTCTATCTATTTCTCCCAAGAGTGCTCAAGGAGATAATTACTCAGTCCCAGTGATGTTCAACCAGCCCTGATGGAGAGTTCAGTCAGCCCACTGGGTCAGTGCTGACTCAGCATAGCAGTGCTAAAGACCACCCAGGCTTCCTCAGTGGTGCTGGGGCCTCCGGGCCTATAGATAGTGGTGCTGTGTGGGGACATGAGGTGCTAAGGTCCATACTTGGGTTCTCATATACGCAAGGTATGCACTCTACCCCCTGAAATATTCCCCTGGTTTTAGGCTGGCAGGTTTGAGGGCAGCAGCCAAAGACAAGGAATTCTGGATTGCTAGAGAGGTAAGGGAGGGAGACGAGTGGCAGAAGAGAGCAGGGGCTGAGCAGAAGACAAAGTCCTGTAAAACTGTGTATAAAATTACAAGGACTCTGACTTTCATTTCAGTGAAATGGGAAGGTACTGAAAAACCCAAGTAGAAGAGCAACTTTCCTTGATATCCCTTTGACTGTCAAGTAAAACTGATCCCAGAGTAATGGCATAGGTATTAGTACTTGTAGCATGGTGATTGTGGTGATCCAGATGGAAGATAACCTTGCTGGTGTTGGGAAGAAGTGTGTTCCAAGTGTTTGATGCTGTCAGACTGGGATGTGTTTTGGAACACATCCAACACGAAATATGTAGAGTGAAGAAAAAGAAAGGAGTTTTGTTTATTTTATTTGTCCACATAACTGTAAGAAAGATTGGCATATGCTGAGAAAGCGGAGTGTGTAGGTTTGAGAATTAGGGAGTTTCAAAGGTTGTGTTTTGCTTACTTTGGGGCCATAACTGGAGGTGCTCGTGACTTACTCCTGGCTCTGTGTTTGTAGATCACACCTGGTGCGGTTCGGAAACCATATATGTTGTCAGAGATCAAAGGGAGTTTGATCTAATGCAAGGCTAGAACTTTAACCCACTGTAAATTTCTCCTGTTCTCTTAAGGGTTGCATTAAGTCTGCATGCTTATTCAGCATTCCCACAGATATATTTAAGTAGATGGGTATGTATATAGAATTATTAAATGTAAGGGAAAAATATTTCTGGAGCCAGAGATTTGAGAGTTCAAGCCTATAGATTTTATAGATTGCAGGATAGTCAGAGAAGGCTGAGGTCATGAGTAGGCACCTGTGATTACAGAGCATCAAGGAGAAAAATCCTCAGAAATGCTTCAAAGGGAGCAGTTGGGGAACCATGAGGAGTGTGACCTCTTTGGAACTGTTTTTCTCTAAACTGGTGCAGAGAAATTTGTGGTAGCTAGAGGAAGATGCAGGGCGGTAGTCAAAGGGTGGTGGGTCCAGGGTGGGTAGTGATGGTTGCTGGGTGGGAGTGATCTGTGCATTGGAGAAGCCACTGATACAGGTTCAGTATGAGAATGGCTGATACATAGCAAAGTGTTGTCTTTGGACCGATTATCACTTTAATTGGAGGGAAAGTCCAACAACAAAGGAAACATCTATCCATAAGTAAAATTAAGGTTCTGAAGAGGTGACAATATGTTTTTTTCAGCTTTATCCCTATCCCCATTTTATTTTATTTTGTTTTTTTTATTTTTATTAGTGACAATATTTTTTTGCAATAAGGTGGTCATAGAACCTTTCTTGAGGGAAGGCAAGGTTTGAACTTGGTTTTCAAGAAGTTATGTATTTCAGGGGCTTGAGCAATAGCACAGCGGGTAGGGCGTTTGCCTTGTAGGCCGACTCAGGTTCAATTCCCAGCATTCTGTATGGTTCCCTGAGCACCGCCAGGAGTGATTCCTGAGTGCCTGAACCAGGAGTAACTCCTGTGCATCACCGGGTGTGACCCAAAAAAAGCAAAAAAAAAAAAAAAAGAAGTTATGTATTTCAGGCAGTACAGTACGTTTATTAATTTGATAATGAGCTTTTCATCTGCCCTAAATTTACTTGTCCATCATATGTCAGGACTTCTACACACAATTTCAGGTACATAATTTGCTTTGTTTTTTGAGAAAAACATTAGCAATACCTAATATGATGTTTTGTTTCCCAAGATTAACTCTTTCTTTTTCTTGTCCTCCCAATTTCAGGAACAAACTCTAGCCCTTAGGAAAGAAGGGATTGGAGTTGTTTTGGATTCTGAGCTGCCTCATTTGATTGGCATTGATGATGACCTTCTTAGTACTGGAATCATCTTGTACCACTTGAAGGTAGGAACTGTTAAAGTGAAGCAAGCTAGTTTTGTCTCATTTTTCCCTTTAGATAGTAACATGATGTGTTATAATACTCTGTGTCTATGAACGAAGCTTTTTATTAAAGAGTATATAGTAAATCCTGAACGCTTTGGGCATTTTCAACAATTCATTGGGATATTGTGGTTTTACAAGTTCCCGTTTTTTATGGCTCCAGTGCTAAATGAACATCTCTTCCCTTTGCTTTCTGTTTTGTAGAATTAGTGAGAGGAGGTAAAGATAAAAAATGCAAAAAGGGGCAAGAGCAGTAGTACAATGGGGAGCATGTTTGGGTTTACAGCCAACTTGGATTTCTCCCTGGCAACTCATGTGGTCTTCTGAACCCCTAGCTCAATGCGCAGGAGTGAGCCTTGGGCTTTGAGGTAGGAATAAGCCCTGAGTATAACTTGGGGTGACTCCAAAATCAAACAAAAGGCAGAGATATTGAGGAAAAAAAGTTACAAGCAAATGGAACTGAGATTTGTTATATAGTTTCCCAGTCTCCTGGGATCATTACAATGTTGTGTCACCCATATATATTATCAGGTCTGTTCCTAAACAGGCTGTTTATGTCAAGAGAGCAAGATTTGAAAATCAGCATCTATGTTTGTCCTTGTAACCTTGACTGTAGTATCTTCTCTCTGAAACATGATGTCACTGAGAATGATATTGCATTTGTGCTTTGTGGGTTTCCATAAATTGCATCTTTAGACACATAAAACTCCTGGCTACCAAAGGAGGGACTGGCCAGAAAGGATGGAGGAAACATTATCGATATTACTGTCGTGGGCAAGTTCTCACTGCTGGCCATAGTTGGAGGCTCTCTGTGTCCAAGCAGTAGACCTCTGGGATGTTACTGTCATTCCCGACATAGTGTCTGTGTTGCTAATGGAGCTTGCTAAGACCTGTTCATAATATTGCTCAGCTCATTGGTCATCAGATTGTTTATGCCTAAATGAAAGTAGAGAAAGACACGTTCCTCTTGTTCTCACTAATAACTTTTTCTTGGTTTTTCTTCTCAGGAAGGTCAGACATACGTTGGTAGAGAAGATGCTTCAACAGAACAAGATATTGGTATGAGTATCAGTGATCAATAATTTTTTAAAAAGTTTCTTTGATGAATCACTTCTAATTTGACATTGAAATAGTTATTTTTAAAAGATGTTTCTTTCTTTTCTTTTCTTTCCTTTTCTTGGCCATACCCAGTGGTGCTCAGGGATTACCAAGATGGCAGGCCTTTAGGGACATTATGGGGTGCCGGGGATTAACCCTGGTTGGCCACATGCAAGGCAAATGTCATAATCATTGTGCTATCTTTCCAGTCCCCCAAAGACACTAATGTCAAGGGGCTGGAACTTTGGTTCAGTGGTAGAGTACTTGCATTTTATGTATGAAAGGCAAGTATTAGCTTTGATTCCTTCCCAAAAATAAGTAAATAAAAGGTAAGAAATATTTTAACTTTAGGCTAGGTTATTTTAGAGCTGGAAAAATGGTTTTAAAGGCTAGAGTACATATTTTGTATGCAAGAATCCTAGATTTGACCCCCAGTAACTCCAAATACCTCTCTTGGAATAACCCCTGAGAATAGTTTTGTGTAGCCCTCCCCCCAAAAAAATCACTTTTAAGTAAACATGTCAGTATATGTATTTCTGTAACTTTGAAGTCAAGTAAATAACACAGAAAAATTAATTTAAGTAATAAACTGGAACTGTGAATCCTTTCCCTCTACCCTACGTACAATGTCCTATAACATCTTTTAAGAGTGCATTTATTTAAATAACCCTACTTTTGTTGCAGTAGGATAATGAATGTTTGAAATATGCCAGTGGGCATGCATAAAGAATATAATGTTCTGTATTGGGAAAGATGTGAACATTTTCCTTTGCAAAGATGACTGTGGAATGTAGGCTACACACACACACACAAGCACGCATGCACACAGGCACACAGGCACACACAGTATGAAGGCAAGCATTCCTATAAGGTATACAGATTATCAGTGATTTCAAATCCCTGAATAGGTTGAGTCTAGCCAGGTTTTAAAAGCATGATATAGGAATTCCTGATGGTGGTGATTATGGGGGGGGGTGTTTTGTGTGTCTGCTTTTTGTGGGATCAGGATGGAGATTGGCCAGGGAATAATTATAATCTCAGCTGCTTTTAGAATTGCTATGATCGACTTACTTAGTCTTGCCAAGTATAAGCTATTAATCAAACCCAGCCTAGCATATTCTTACATGTCTTTACTGTATTTTATGAATCTGAAAAAGCTGAAAAGTCACCCGAAAAGTCATTCCCAGAAGCCCTTAGGGTCAGTTGTTTTTGAATGGAAGTGTATATCAGACCTCTTCTTCTAATCATTATGTTAGACTTCTGTTCTTTGGGGTTGTTATAAATTATGATGACTAGGAAGAACACACTTCCTTCCCCCCCCCCCCACACCCCCTTCAAAGAATACAGTAGTGCAAGTTTGGAGGATTATAGGAGTTATTTATCTGTACTTCTAAGAAACAGACTATTAACTGATTTAAAATTGTGTTGCTGTATTTATTCACATAGATGCTCATATCCATTCTGATCATTTATTAAGAGTAACTAATGATGGTCATATGAGATTAGGTCAACTTAGCTCTAAGAGGTTTGTGGGAACCCAGCTATCCTGAGCATGGGCACAGGTGGTGACTGTGTGCATACCTTTTTTGGGCGGCTTTTGGAAGGTTTTATGGAGCACCTTTGCTTCTGCTTCCAAAATGCAGAACCTTTAAGTATGGAGGTCACAGTGAGTTCTTGACCTATGAAGCCCTTTATATTTTTCCTTTTTGTTGTGAATTTCGAATGTCTAGTAGAGGAAAACTTTTCAGAGTGAATCAGTGATTTACAGCAATGACTGGTTACACAGCTATTTTATTTTTCCCTCTGAAGACAAAATAAATGAACATGATATGAACTCTTTCCCTAATTCGGGTGCTGTTCGTACTCTGAGTTACATCCAAGGAATATATCAGTTCTATCAGTTGATGCCCTAATTGCTTTATGATTTGTCTCACTGACTCCAGTATTTTTTTCTTTATCATACTTTGGCTTACTGGTTGGTGATGCCATGAACTCCAAAGAGCAATTTTCTCACTAAACAGATACATGTTCATTTCACAACAGAGACATGGAAAAGGAAGAGGAGTGAAGATGGGGATCAGTGTAGGAGATGCCTAAGAAAACATTTTCTTTGTTTTTACAATTTAGTTCTTCATGGTTTGGACTTGGAGAGTGAGCACTGCATCTTCGAGAATGCGGGGGGCACTGTGACTCTGATCCCCTTGAGTGGGTCTCAGTGCTCTGTGAATGGTGTTCAGATCACGGAGGCCACACACCTAAATCAAGGTATCTGGTTTTTTGTTTTCAGAATACTTTGTGTATATTGTTGCTATAAAACCAGAATTGTTACAACATGTCCACTTTACAATTAAGTGTCCTATTGTGTTCTGCTTCATTTTGCTTTTTTAAATTCTGTTTTGCTGAGGGACTTCTACATAATATTATTTTGTTTAATTAAACATGACCATATAAATAGTCATCTTAACTATTATTGCTGTTAGGGAAATAAGGTATTAAGGATTTTTATTTTTTAGATTAAAATGTACTCTTTGAATGCAAATCTTAACATTGGGGCTTCTTTTAACATTTTATTCCTGTATTATTAAGAATTTTTATAATAATATGCACATAATTAGAATAATGTAATATATAACATAAGTTTTTTCCTCTTGAAATAATTTTAATATTCCTAGAAATTTGCAAGTATGATGTGAACAACCCAAATCAGAAATGGACACTAATGAATTCCTGCCATCTAATTCTTAGACTCCCTTTAAGATTTTTTCCATTTGTCCCAACATATGAATCCACTCTTTAGTCAGCCATTATGTCTTATGTTTATATGTCATATCTCTAGTTTTTTAGTCTAGAATACATCTTCAATTTTTCCTTGGTTTTTATGAGTTTGGAGTTTTGAAAACTTCAGGTAGATATTATAGAATGTTCTCAAGTATCTAGGAATTATTTAATGCTTTTGTCTGATTAGACAAGTAATTAGCCTTTTGGATGGAATAGTAGAGAAATAATGCTGTATTTTCTCATGTTTGTCATACAGTTCCTACTTGTTCCATCTCAGGTGATGTTCACTCAGATCAGTTGATTAAAATTGAACTTGTCAGGAATCTTCATTGCAAAGTTACTCCCTTTTCCATTTCTGTTCTTTCTTATTCTTTTTTTAATTATAAGGTTATTGAGGTGTTTTGAGAGTTATGTGTTAAAATTAAAAAATATATTTTTAGTTTAATGAACTTTTAATTGTTGAATAATATTTTTATTTATTACAACAGTTGGCCAAGTTGGCTGTGTGCAAGGCAAATGCCCTACCGCTGTGCTATCGCTCCAGCCCGCACAGCAAAGCCTGGCAAGCTGCCCGTGATGTATTGAATATGCCAAACACAGTAACAACAAGTCTCACAATGGAGACTTTACTGGGCCCGCTCGAGCAAATTGATGAACAAAGGGAGGACAGTGATATACAACAGTTACAAAGAGAATTCAAGGAATATCCATATGTTTTATACTCTGGGGACTATTATGAACATTTTATATGTCTGTGGTACAATAAATATTCTTAAACATTGTTAAATTTTATTTATATGTTGCAGGGGGGTGCCTAAGTGGTACTTGAGAGCCTTCAGAGCCACAACCAGTGGTGCCTGGGACCCTCAGGGCTGTCCCTGTGCTAACTTGGGGCAGGGAAGCCTGTGATGCTGGGATCCAACTCACCTTGCATGTGCTCTAGTTCCTCTGTGATTTGTCTCACTGCCTCCAGTATATTTTTCTTTATTATACTTTGACTCACTGGTTTCAGAACACACTGCTATTTTTGGTGTGTGATTTAATGATTATTCTGATGATTACCAGATGGCAGTGTTTTCCCTTCAGTGTTTATTTGTTGACTTGTACTATAAGAATTAACTTTTATTCATGCAATTTTTTTAAAATTAATTTTAAAATCTAAGTTAACTATCACATCACTTGCTGTTTAGTAAGTTTTAGTCTATTTCTATCATTTGAGGCCTAAGTTGTCACAAATTTGGCAAGTGGGAGTGCCTTCAGTCAAATTCCTTTTTCTTTCGTCCTCCCTCCCTCCCTCCCTCCCTCCCTCCCTCCCTCCCTCCCTCCCTTCCTTCCTTCCTTCCTTCCTTCCTTCCTTTTTCCTCCAGTATCTGTAAGCATTTCCTTACGTTGTGACACAGAAAGATATGCTAGGCTCATCTTATACTTTACCTGCAATCTACCCATTCTCCAAGGAACTCTTGTCTCTTAGTGGAGAATGAGAGTTAGAAACCAAGATACTGGCATTAGGTGTGCTCATTGCTATTACACTGTCACAGGTCCAGGCCCTGTCAGACAACAGATTTAGGGAAAATATGTGTGTATATATAGCATTTACAGCTGTATTTCGGCTGGAGCGATAGCACAGCGGGTGGGGCGTTCGCCTTACACGTGGCCAACATGGCCGACCCGAGTTCAATTCCTCCGCCCCTCTCGGAGAGCCCGGCAAGCTACCGAGAGTATTGGATATGCCAGACACAGTAACAACAAAGTCTCCAATGGAGACGTTACTGGGCCCGCTTGAGCAAATCGACGATCAACGGGAGGGCCTTTACCTTTACCTTTTACAGCTGTATTTCTGTATCTCTTTATAGTGAATTGTCTATACTACCTTCCAGACTGACAGCCAGAAGTTCACATAATATCTTTAATTCCAGTCCAACGCATTAGGATCATTCTGCTTTTCTCCCTTATTTTTAGCTCTTTTATTGGGGGGTGGGGTACTGAATATTGTTTTTCTTCTTTTTTTTTTTTTATCATTGTTGAGGGGATTACATATAGCAGCATTCCAGGAGCCATGTATTACTTGGACTCAAACCCTACTTGCCTTATAGAATGTACTCTACTGCTTGATCCATGTCCCTCAATTCCCATGTCATTTATTTTTCTTATGGTAAGAAACCTGGCATCCACTATGTGAGCAATATTATAGTTTTTATGCTCCCTTATTATTCAGGGGACCCTTCTCTTTCTGCACAGGTGATGACACTCCATGTTGGACCATCAGCCAACACTCTTTTGCAGAAACCTTCTTCACCTGCTTATATGCCTACTTTGCTCAGCTCTGCTGATTGGCCTTTGTACTGATCTATACAAAGAAGGAAGAAGAGAAAGAAGTTGACTTTCTTATTCTAAAGTCAGTTGTAGGGTACCTATCACAGGAAAAAAAAAGATTTGTTAGATCAGGGTGGTCACAGTTTTATAGTAAGTACAGACTCCAGCAGTGAGATCAAAGAAGGTGGGTGACCTTGGATGAATGAATGTTCATTAGGATGAATCCATTCATGTAGTGGCAAAGATGTATTACTGGCCTTGCTATGCTGGGATTACATGGGCCACCTGCGGTGCTCAGAGCCCTTTAGGACAAACTTAGCAGTGCTGTGGATCTCTAGTGTTGCACCTGGCGATACTCAGGGAGTATGTGGTACTGGAGATCAAATTGGGCCAACTGCATGCAAGGTATTTGCCCTAAACCCTGTACTATATTACTGGTTCTGATTATTGCCTATGTTTAAATAGAAATCTTGGAATCATTTTATGCTAAAATATTCTCTCAGAAGTTAGACTCTAATTTTATTTAATTTGTTCACATTCAAAAAATATATTTCCATCTGGAACATTTATCTATTCAGTATGCCTCATTTTGAATTTGAATCCATTGCAATAAAATTTGAAGGTTTTCAATAGATATTTTTGCCAAGCTTTGTTGATTCATGTACACAAAGTTCTAAATATGGCTGTATATATTAACTACCCCAAACAGGGAGGAAGAAGCGTTGGGTTCTGTAATAATCCATTTTGATGACAGTGTCACTTTTACCCCCAACACAAAGAGCCTGCAAAGATATGAATTTGGAGATATATGGAGAGAGGGAAACTTAAAGGAATTTGCTGAACAGAGTCAAGGTCTGTTAAATCTTATGCATTGTTCTTTCAGATAAAATGAAGCCTGGTGTGCATGTGAAGCCACACACTGAAGTTGGAGAACTTAACCTTCTCTAGCTTAACTTTAATGTGGGCACATTATTTAGCATAAGTAGTGTTTGAGTCACAAATAGCCCATAGCCCACAAATATCAACATCAGCCGCTGGATACATCTGACTTTATTGCCTGGCAGTCAGACTGTTGCTTCTTTTAAATCCCCCCACCCCAACCCCCACTGGCTAGCTATGTACCTCTGGAGCTTACCATTACCAGTTCCCTGTTTGAAGGATGCCTAGGGGTTGAGTGGATCGCAGTAACCATAGTTCCTGCCATGCTGTGGGCTAAGTAGACTCTTGTGGATTTGCCCGCAAGCACACTATTAATGTTTCTGTGAGAAAATCAAGTTTGAGTTCCAAACAGCCTTTCGATAAAGAAACTTTCCTATCATCTACTGTTTAATATGGAAAATGCATCAATCAGTATTTAATTATGCAGCTAGCTTTCTACTTTGAGCTCCCTGAATATTCTTCACTTATTTAATTTGAAGAAATTGCTTATTATTTCATTTTCATCAGCTTATAAGATGCAGTTATATCTCTTAATTCTTTTATGGATTGAGGATAGACAATAAAAATAAATGTATCTTCATATATTTTAGATCTTTTTTTTAATGAAGTAAAATATTTTGATTTAGGAAATTCCAGAAAGTGGAGAGAGACAGAAACAGGGTCTCCCATCAAGTAAAAAAGAGAAATTGTACACCCTGAGTTGGTATGCCAATGATTACAGAATGAATTTTACCTTTTTTTTTTGGTTAATGTCTACCAAACCTTTAAAGAGGAACTACTGCTAACTTTTTAAGGCTCTTCAATGAACTCAAAGAAACAGAAACACTCTCAAACAGTTGAGGCAAACATCATCTTGATACCAAAAACAGACAGAGACAGCACAAAAAAACTATGGGCCAATATCCCTGATGAACTTAGATGCAAAGATACTCAAACAATTACTAGCAAATAAATAGCAGCAACACATCACAAAATTATGTATCATAATCAAGTGAGATTCTGAGGATGCAATGATGGTTTAATATACACAAGTCCAAAGGCCTTTACTTTACTTTACCAGCATAATGGACATAGTTCGTGTTAATTCAAGGAAAAATAAAGATCATATGATTACATCAATAGATACAGAGAAAGCATTTGACAAGGTCCAACACCATTCATGATAAAACTCTCAATATACTTCAAGATACTATGATCACGAAGGTGGTTTTCCTAGGGTGAGGCTTATCTATTAC